TATTTTCCAAACACCCTGTATACATATATACAATATTTATATCCACATTAAAAGTGTATAATCTTAATTTTTTTACAATAAACCTTCTCAAGCTGGTAGTAATATTAAAACAATTTGTATCTATTATTTTTTGTTTAATTTAAACAAAATCTGTGTTGATTTTCTCCATTATTATTTATTCTTTCAAAAAACTGATTGGTTTTCAATGGATTTAAAATTATTTAAATGAAGATAATCATCGTAAAATAATGTGAATTTTCGTAGTGTAATGTTATTGTTTATAACAGACAAGAAGGCACAATACACATATTATAAACTTTTTTTTTAATTCCAATTATATAATTTTGCGTTTATAAAATGTACTAAATATATATTACACAACACAAAAAAATAAACGAAAATATCAAATACATAACACAAAAAAATATCAGACAGCAAATGTTACCATGATTAGTAGTACTTGTTAAAGTAAGTGAGATAGCTTCGATGAGACACAAGATTGTATGCATGTTTGTTGGAGCATTGAAATACTCCAAAGCGCATCTTGATGGTACTGTATACTGTAACATGGCCTCATTCGTTACATTTATTTTATGATTAGCATTACCCAAAAATGGAATTATTGTGAATAATAGACAACTAAAGTAAGAAAAACACATTAGGGAACAGCAGAGAATTCTTCCCGTAAAAGCATGTTTTCGCATAATGGCCCGATGTTTTGCGTTTTTAATCATCAAATAATCGTTCAGAGCAGAACTGTAATTGTTAGTCAAATTCCTTGCGTAAATGCGAAACCATACTGTCTTCAGTATACCAAGTATTCCGCAACAGAGTAACATAAGGCTGTCTACGTTCTGTTCAGCGTTATTGCAGTCCGTGTAGAGTTCGATGGAAGGTAATATTACCATTAGGCTCTGTTGATATGTATAAATTTATATTTTATATAAAGCTTTATGTGTTTAAAAAAGATGTGTCTGCATTCTACTTTGATGAATCTTTATTAATATTAATTGCAAATAACAGTTAGAAATTAATACAAATATAGCTATACAATATTTTGTCTATGCTTAAAGCATAAAAAGATGTTAGAATATAAACCAGTCTGATTTAAAGATAAAAACAGTATA